CTACTTTTGGCTGACCACTGAAGAACTTTTTCTATTTTCTTTACTCATTTGAAAATTTTTATTTTACCTACATTTGTGGAGTAAATGTAAAAAAGAAAAAAAAACTTATAAAAATGGTCTGGAAAATAAACTCAGGAATGTTTTGGTACATATTTGTCACTGATATTCTCCAAAAGTTGGCAGTATATATTAAAGAGACTGTCTCTTTTCTGGAGATGCTTCCATCTGTTGAACTATAATGGAGTAGCGGCTATCTAAACACATTGACTCTTGGCTAACATAAATTAAGCACAGGTGGTTGATCTGGACAATTTGCATGCCCCCCACACTATATATATATATATATATATATATATATATATATATATATATATATATATATATATTAGTGTATTTTGTGTTCATATAGGTTATATGGTGGCTTCTGATTTGGGAAGAAAGCTCTTACCCTCCATGATGTAAAAGAGTAGCCAAATTTTTTATTTGCTTTTAACTGCTTATCATTTGCTACTTCATTGCACTTCACGATTTCCATGTGCTTCATTCTCAATTTCTTGTGCTAGCTACTTCTGTGTTTTCATTGTTGCATTTTGACTAGTCAATTTAAATGTCTCAAATAATAAATGGAAAAAATAATCCATTCTTTTAACCAAATACAAAGAATAGGATACAGTTCTTCTCTATATTGGGAAATTAACACACTAAGTAATAAATATTTAAATATATAGTATAGTTAATGCCTCTGAACTTAAGTATAGAATGAGACATAATGAAGTATATTCTGCTGCTTAGGTATGTCTTAAAAATATTAATACTTAGTGGAAAATCTTAATCCATTCAACATTAATTAAGGTAAGTCTAATTTATTTTTGCAATGCAAACACTAAATATATATAATCTATATCACAGTCATTTTTCCCCCAAATAAGACAACAGTTGGGTGTTTCTTAACACATATAAAGTTATTACATAAAGCATTTAATATCATGGTTATGCATTTTAGATTCTATACCTGAGGTATGTCACTTCTAATGCCATAGCTAGCATGTTGAATATTTTGCTTGCTTATAAATATCACCAGTTTTTTCTCAGGAATGTCTGTCTTTTATAGAAGTACAAAGTCTTTTTTTTTTTTTTTTATAAGTACAAAGTTTTATGCAAGTCCCTGGTTTTCTTACTTGTTACGTTGAAGTAATAATAAGGATTTCTTTATTTGAACAGAAAGCTATAAGTAATCAAACTACTTAAAAATTTCTCTTAAAAATATGTTCAACTAGGTCTTTTATAAATATATAGTATAAGGTAAAGTCACACACAGTATTTAGGTCTATATGTGGATATCCTGAAACTGGTTACTTTTTTTGTCTTTTGTTTTTTGTTTTTTGTTTTTTGTTTTCATCAATTCCATTTATCTCAAAGCTTTGAATTCAGCACAAGGTGGTTATTTCAGTAGTTTTGGTCAATTATCGATCTCATAGTAGATACAGTTCACGCAAGTAGAGAGCTATTAGGTAGTTTCTCAGATCTTCTGCACTGAAAATGAAATGAACTCATGGCAGCCAATATTCCCTAAACTTTAGGTCAAATGCCACCCTCATGATTTTTGCCAGGCTTTCAGTACCACCAGTATTATTTAAATTATTTTAATCTACCATCAATGACTTCTTAAAAATTTCTTAAGGAAAAACATCCATAAAGTCATGTATCTGATATATTTTTCTGAAGCATTAAATGAATATATAACCATTAAAACCTCCAGTGTTCCTCCATGCACTACTAGTAGTTTCACCCTTAGGAAAGCTCTGATTTGGAGGATTGGAAATGTGACCCACCTCAGAAAGCTGTTTCTCTTCTCACAGTACCTGCAGTGTGGGCACCTGGATTGGAATCTGGGCAGCTGAGAGGGGACAGAGATGTGTGTATTTGAACTTTATGCTTTCTCTGGAAAGCCTAACTACTACAACTTATGTGAGTAATTCTATAGGAAGTGGATAAAAGAATATAAACTATAGAATAAGGTCTTTTAAAATATGCTTCAAGACTGTATTTGAACCCTACCTTTTTTCTTGAGTAGAAATTAATCAGTTAGCCTGATCATTTCCTCCTTTGCTTTCTGGAAAACTTTAAAACTACTCTCCAAAGTGTGGCAGTCTACTACTCTCTACATCCTCTCAGGAAAGATTTATTTGAAGATTTTAACGTATAAATTTGTGTAAAAACTTGCAGTTTTTGCCCTTTTGCCCCTCAAGCGCAGCCCCTCTTCCAGTTATTTTTTTTTATTAGAGCTACTTAACATCTGGAAAGGAAATAAGAAAATTAGTGCATGTGTTGTCAGGTTTTCAATTATAAAATGTTTATGTTAAATAAATAAATGATTGACGGATCCATCTTCCTTTTCTTTCCTGCGTCCTTCCTTGCTTACTCAGACTCTTTCTTCTCATTCAAAAGGGCATGTGCTCTGACCTTGATCTCTAAAAATAGCAAAAATTGTAATTATGAAACTAGATATACACATCACTTGTAATAATTTATATTATTCTTTTAATAATGTTAAGGAAGGCGGGACTGGAACATGTTTATTCACTGAATGTTTTTTTGGAAATCCACCTCTTAAGCTCCAAGGATATAAAAGTTATATGTTGTGAAGGAAACTATAATATTTTACAGTAACTGCAGTTATAGTGCTTTCCCTCCTAACGGAGCTTAGTGTGCCCTTTACCTTCAACCACAGGAGTTTCACAGACTATTCCATGTGCAATTCCATGTTGTCTGTGTTTAAAACATCATTTGAAATACTGAGGAAAATTAGTTCCACTTACACTGTAAGAGTGAATACAGAGTACAGGGGCAAAAAGTTGGTCTTTTGAGTCACTATTAACAAGGAATCAAGTATCAGCTGTTCCGCACACTAGCTGTGTGACTGGCTAAGTCACCCTGAGCCTTAAGTTAGTTACAAATAGAGATAAAAATCAGTGTTAATAATTGCCAACATTTATTGTGTGTTGCCTTTATTACACACAGTATTGAGTATTTTATATGCAATTGTTAATCTTCAAAAGGAGCCCATGTCTGTTGTTAGGCCCATTTTACAGGCAATGAAATAAGAGGCTAGGTAACTTGCTCACGGTCAGACAACTACCACCAGAGCTAGCCTTTGATCCCAAATCATCTGCATCTTACTATAACGTATGCTCTGTACTTCATAGTCTGTGCTGTGAACTCTATATTATATAACCTGCCCTCTATACTATGTACTCAATACTCTTACTCTGTATTCTATACTCTGTGCTTTGTACTCTCTAGTCTGTACTCTGTACTATATATTCTGTACTCTACTCCGTACGCTACTGTATGCTTCATATTATATTCTCTGTACTCTGTACTTTATATGTAGTATGTACATTGCTCTATATACTCTATGCCCTATACTCTATACTATATATTTTGTGCTCTGTATACTCTATATACTATATGCTGCATATACTCTGTACTCCATACCATAAACTGTATACATTCTGTGATCTGAACTCTGTGCTCTGATCTGTACTCTGTATTCTATACAATATACACTCTATATGTATTCTCTACTGTGTACTACTGTATATTATATATATATATAATCTTGTCACATGCAGCATCTACACTTGTTACTTCTATAGATAATTTTTGGCTTGGACATAGAAGCCAAGCCATATTTATTTGTATTGTGTTTTCAATCCAAAGAATATGTATACTTTATCCCATACAAGAAACTATAACTTGTACTGATTTCATTTGCCTTCCATGATTTGGATAGATTTTTTTTTGCATGATTTTCATTCTTTTCTAATGGATACTGTCCTAGGATGCTTCTAAGCCTGTTCATGGTATGTACTGAATGTCTTCTTTGCCTGTATACTTCCATCCTTAGGTATTTCTAATGTTTATTTTTCCCTATATACTTCGGTACATAGCTATGCACTATTAAAAATTAAATTTAATGAATGATAGGCATATTCAAACTAAAGTCTCTTAAACTTTAAAAAAATGTACTCTGTACTATGAACTATATACTATATCCTTTATATTTTGTAGTCTGTACTGGGTACTCTCTATACTACTCTGTGCTCTGTAGTCCATACTTTATACTGTATACTCCATGCTCTATACTCATCTATTACATACTCTGTGCCCTGTACTGTGTACTCTATACTCTGCTGCCACATTTCTTTAACCTGTTGTATTCCCTTCCCGCCCAGATTTGACCTCTGAATAATCTAAGTCACCCTTATCAGAGAGAATGTATCCCAGATTCTTTGTGTTCATGTTTATATGAATATAGACTATTCACTGTTTTGTTTTTTATTTATTTATTTATTTTTAAGATTTTTATTTATTCATGAGAAACACACAGAGAGGAAGAGGAACAGACAGAGGCACAGGGAGAGGGAGAAGCAGGCTCCATGCAGGGAGCCTGACATGGGACTCGATCCCAAGTCCCCAGGATCACACCCTGGGCCGAAGGGAGTGCCAAACCTCTGAGCCACCCGGGCTGCCCCTGTTTGTTTTTTAAATTAAACCATTTTCAAATCTTTTTTTTTTTTTTCCATTTTCAAATCTTAAAGCCATATGCCTGCTATGGCTTTGTGTATACCAGCACTTTGGTCCATTTACCACTAGCTCTTTGGAGACTATGAAGTAAAACTAGCCTCTCTGGGTCTCTGCAAGATTCAGAAGTTAGAGTCAGTTATCTATAGGATTCTATCCAGCTCTAAATTCTAATGTTTAAATGTAAATTTATTATGATTCATTTAAAGGTTTTCTTTAATCTGACAGTTAATATCAAACAATGTTTTATACATAGATGCCTCTGTGTTGTATTTGTGTGACCTGGAAATGCCATGTCCCCTGGTTTGTGGTTTGTGCTACCAAGTCCAGGTACTTGGGAAAGTGTATTTGGCCTACTGATTGATTACCTTTCTTAGCTTGAAAAAGGTAAGCTTTTTCCTGTCTTTCACCAGATGTAAATACTCCTGAATCTCCAAAGAACACTGTGGAATCTTCAATGGTGAATGGAGGTTTCCCATCACAAACAAAAGAAAATGGATTGAGTGCTGCACAGCAGGTGCCTGTGCAGCGGAAGAAGCTCCTCAAAGCTCCAACTCTGGCTGAACTGGACAGCTCTGACTCCGAGGTAAGTCCCATGAGAGCCTGTTACACACATCTTGACTCCATGTTCAGAATGCAAGCCCTCTCTGACCTAGTTTACTAATCTTGTTGCATAAGTTGGTGCCTAATCTCTTCCCATCTTTCAGTCAATAAAGTTGGGATTGAAATTCATTTGTTTAGCAGGAAATGAAACAATGGATTTTGTGTTTTTCATGAAAGACCAGTATAGTGGCCATAGTTTATAGAATAGGTTTTGAAGTATTTGTATGATCTTAGATTATAGTGGTATTAATATAACTTTAAAAAAATGTAAACATCTTCCCTTTGTTTCCCTTTGTTTTGGGGGAAGGAAATCCCTTTGTTTTGGGGGAAGGAAACATATCTTCCCACATGTTCCCCTTTGTTTTGGGGGAAGGAAAAAGATAAATCTATTTCCATGGATTTTTCTCTCACACACACATACCTACCCATAGTGAAGCTTGTTCTTTCTGTGATAGTAATATCAATAGACCGGTCTGTAAAAGAAAACTCTGCTAGGGTTCTCCAGATTTCATCTTTCCCCTGCTGCCCTTTGGAGGAAGAGTTGATGTCCTCCCTGTTTTCAGGAACAATTAGAATGCTGGTGCTTCCCAAATTTCTCTCAATCCCTTTGTCCTCAGCATCAGTAAGGTCACATCTCCCCCTGTATAAACTGAAATTATATTCTTGCCTCCTCCTTCCCAGGCCCTGCCTGACAGATAATACACACACATAGCCAGCCTCTCAACTTCTGTTTGCTGTTGTGGTTGCTGGCTTCATCCGTACCACATTCATCCAAGTTAGAATTAAGGAATTATTCTTTAATTACCCAGACTGATTTCTGATGACTCTGGCAGCCTTCAGTACCACCCTTGGAACAAAGCAGCACTGAAGGAGCAGAAGGAGTTCTGGAAGTGACCTTGTTCCAACCAGAACCTGGTTAAGAGTCACTGGTCAGGATGTAGAACTAGAAAAGGCCTTGTTTAATGAGTGTCAGAGACCAGTAACCGGACCAGACAGTACAAACAAGCAAGTTTCAGAAAGCAGGCCTGGCAGTAGTTTCAGAGATCAGAGCCCATCAGGATCCCCCAGCCAGGAGAAAGTGTTTGGTCAAGGGAGTGGACATGACAGGGCAAGCCAAACAGGCATCTACACCCACATTTTCTCCCTCTCCCTCTCCCCCTCCATCTCCCCCTCCCCCCTCTCTCTCTCTCTCTCTCTCTCTCTCTCTCTCTCTCTCTCGAAATCTGACTTCCCAGATCTCCTGGCACTTTCTGAGGGTCTTTGTGATTCCTCTGGGCCATTACCTAATCCTAATGAAGATTAGTTTTCAAGTAGTGAGAAATTGGGTGCAGCTGCCTGTGGTGGACATACAGGGGCAGAGGACCATCAATAACTTCTAGGCACAAATCCCAAAAGGCCTTGAACCATGACAGTATCCTCATCACTTCTCTGTTTCTTACTGACCGACTTGTACTCACTGGGTGCCCTAGGATGGGCTCTTAGTTGTTCACAGTGGGAGCAGGTCAAAGCAGTAAAGAGGAGTGGTGTGGAAGGTAAGGACATGCTCAGAATTCTGTAAAATTGGGCTTTAGAAGTGTTTCTGAGAAAGATGGGCTAAGTTATGTGAGGTGGGGGCATGGTTTCTGCTGTTGAAATCAGGGTGACACCCACCTCACCTCATAATCATTTGGGAGTATTGTATATGGCTCCTTTCTCTTTTCGTAAGAGATACTCTTAGCTTTTATTTCTTTTGACCGTCCATAAGCAGAAGGAGGTCATTCTAGTTGCCTGCTAGCTTTTCCAGAGATTTGTGTGACCTCTACACTGTGTCTGGAGTTGAGGCTTTGGTTACATTGCTTGATTTGTTTTTCATGGTATGTACCAAGAGTGAGGAGGTCACTGTTCAGACCTCCTTTGTTTGCACTGTATGGTTTACATTGCCTTTTTCATCTCCTTTTCTTTGAACAGATCCTTTGTATTGTAGTTTTTTTGAAACCTGTGCTTTCAGAAGTAGGTTTTAGGTGAGGACACTTTTTTGTGAATGGCAAAATTAATTCTTAAAGTCACCTTAACTAAGTAGATCAGAGAGAATTTTCACTATTTGTCTCACATAATCATAGGTGAATATTTTAATCTAATTTTCTTTCTTCCACATTTAAAAATATTTAGCAGTTTTCTGTAGATATTATAGAAATACATCGTCAGGTAGTTTATGTACATCCTCAATCACATAGAAGGTAGTAAGTTTTTCATGAATAAATACTGTACTTTATCTTGATATAATCTGAAACAAATTATTAAGAAGGTCTGTTCTCACTGGTAATAGGAATTTAAATGTTATTTTGCATAATGTAGATATTTTTCTAGATTCATATGACATTCTTTGAATTATTTTCATCCATTTATTCAATAAATATTAATATTTATTCATTACTTACTAACAATGGATTTGTTACTAACAACAATGAATGAGACACATAGCATCCACCTTCATGCAACTACCAATCTACTACTTTTATAAATGTGTTAAGTATTCCCCTAATAATAATATTAACTACCATTTACTGTGTGACTCATAATGTATTAAGCATTTTGAGTGTATTATCTCATCTGATCCAATAGCACAGTGTAAAAATGGCATTAAATACCAAATGACGAAACTGAGGCAAGAAACTTTATGTATCATGTCCCTCTAATGAGGGACAAAGCCAAGACACAAATCCAGATCTGTCTAATCTTAGATCTCTCCTAGTTTGTGTTGTTTGCCTTGAACTGTTGACATAATTCAGGGCCTCACATTAAAATAAATCTTTAATAGTAAAATGTTATCAGCATGAGAGCACTAATGTCTTAGAAGTCTTCTATTTCTCTGCCCATACCTTTCTCAGGAAGAAACTCTGCACAAGTCTACCAGCAGCAGCAGTGTATCTCCTTCCTTCCTTGAAGATCCCTTAGCAGAGGCTGTGTCCACAAGGAAGAGTGAGTATCTTTGGTACAAAAGAGCTAGCATCAGATTCCGCCCAAAATACACTGAACCTGGAATAGGGAATTCCAAATGCTTTGTGATTGTTGGGGGTAGAAAGAACTAACCCTGACATTTGCACCCAAAAGCATAAGATACCTAGAAATAAACCTAACCAAAGAGGTAAAGGACCTATACCCTAAAAACTATAGAACACTTCTGAAAGAAATTGAGGAAGACACAAAGAGATGGAAAAATATTCCATGCTCATGGATTGGCAGAATTAATATTGTGAAAATGTCAATGTTACCCAGGGCAATTTACACGTTTAATGCAATCCCTATCAAAATACCATGGACTTTCTTCAGAGAGTTGGAACAAATTATTTTAAGATTTGTGTGGAATCAGAAAAGACCCCGAATAGCCAGGGGAATTTTAAAAAAGAAAACCATATCTGGGGGCATCACAATGCCAGATTTCAGGTCGTACTACAAAGCTGTGGTCATCAAGACAGTGTGGTACTGGCACAAAAACAGACACATAGATCAATGGAACAGAATAGAGAATCCAGAAGTGGACCCTCAACTTTATGGTCAACTAATATTCGACAAAGGAGGAAAGACTATCGACTGGAAGAAAGACAGTCTCTTCAATAAATGGTGCTGGGAAAATTGGACATCCACATGCAGAAGAATGAAACTAGACCACTCTCTTGCACCATACACAAAGACAAACTCAAAATGAATGAAAGATCTAAATGTGAGACAAGATTCCATCAAAATCCTAGAGGAGAACACAGGCAACACCCTTTTTGAACTTGGCCACAGTAACTTCTTGCAAGATACATCCACGAAGGCAAAAGAAACAAAAGCAAAAATGAACTATTGGGACTTCATCAAGATAAGAAGCTTTTGCACAGCAAAGGATACCGTCAACAAAACTAAAAGACAACCTACAGAATGGGAGAAGATATTTGCAAATGACGTATCAGATAAAGGGCTAGTTTCCAAAATCTATAAAGAACTTATTAAACTCAACACCAAAAAAACAAACATTCAAATCATGAAATGGGCAAAAGACATGAAGAGAAATCTCACAGAGGAAGACATAGACATGGCCAACGTGCACATGAGAAAATGCTCTGCATCACTTGCCATCAGGGAAATACAAATCAAAACCACAATGAGATACCACCTCACACCAGTGAGAATGGGGAAAATTAACAAGGCAGGAAACCACAAATGTTGGAGAGGATGCGGAGAAAAGGGAACACTCTTACACTGTTGGTGGGAATGTGAACTGGTGCAGCCACTCTGGAAAACTGTGTGGAGATTCCTCAAAGAGTTAAAAATAGACCTGCCCTACGACCCAGCAATTGCACTGTTAGGGATTTACCCCAAAGATTCAGATGCAATGAAACACCGGGACACCTGCACCCCGATGTTTCTAGCAGCAATGTCCACAGTAGCCAAACTGTGGAAGGAGCCTCGGTGTCCATCAAAAGATGAATGGATAGAGAAGATGTGGTTTATGTATACAATGGAATATTACTCAGCCATTAGAAACGACAAACACCCACCATTTGCTTTGACGTGGATGGAACTGGAGGGTATTATGCTGAGTGAAGTAAGTCAATAGGAGAAGGACAAACAGTGTATGTTCTCATTCATTTGGGGAATATAAATAATAGTGAAAGGGAATATAAGGGAAGGGAGAAGAAATGTTTGGGAAATATCAGAAAGGGAGACAGAACATAAAGACTCCTAACTCTGGGAAACGAACTAGGGGTGGTGGAAGGGGAGGAGGGCGGGGGGTGGGGGTGAATGGGTGATGGGCACTGAGGGGGACACTTGACGGGATGAGCACTGGGTGTTATTCTGTATGTTGGTAAATTGAACACCAATAAAAATTAATTTATTAAAAAATAATATAAAAAAAATAAAAATATTTTTATAAAAATGTTCAAAGAACTAAAAGAAGATGTGGAGAAAGTCAAGAACACAATGTGCGAACAAAATGGAAAGATCAATAAAGAGCTAGAAAACCTAAAATGAAACAAAAATTCTAGAGCCAAAAATTCCAGTGACTTAAATGAATATTGAATATTCACTAGAATATTCAGAGGCGGATTTGGGCAGGCAGAAGAAAGAATCAGCAAACTTGGAGATAGGACAGTGGAGGGTATCAGGTCCGACGAACAGAAAGAAAAACGATTGGAAAAAAGCAGAGACTGAGAGACCTGTGGGACAGCAACAAGTGGACTGACATTTGCTCTGTGGGAGTCCCTGAAGGAGAGGAGAGAAGGAAGGGCAGAAAAGATTCATGGCAGAAATAATGGCTGAGACTTACCAGATTGAGGAATGACATGAATATAAACATTCAGGCAGCTCAACTACTATAAGAGACCCACACTGAGACACATTGTAATCCCAAAAGCCAAAAACCGAGCAACGAGAGAGAAGTGAGTCCCTACATACAAGAGATCCTCAAGGAGATTTTCAGCATATTTCTCATCAGAAACTTTGGAAGCCAGGAGACTGGGCCCAATACAGCTCTCCATCCCACTATCTGAAAGTTTGCTTTCCATCACTTCACTTTTTATGAAAGACCAACATTAATACCTGTTCTAGCTAATTCATCAAAATCCAAAGAAGATGTTCACTTTTACAAAGTGTTTCAATTGCTTCTTTGGTTTATGCCATTTCAGCTTACAGAAGGTTTCACAGAAATGCTCTACTCTCAGATAGTGGAGGAAATCTGTATATTCAAAGTGCTTAAAAAAAAAAAAGTCCACCAACAATCTTATATCCAGCAAAACTATTTACCAAAGGAAGGAAGAAATTTAAACATACCCAGATAAACAAGAGCTGAGGGAGTTTATAACCACTTGACCTTCCCTGTAAGAAATGCTCAGTAGTCCTACAGGGGGAAATGAAAGGACACTAGACAATAATTCAAAGCCATGAGAGAAATAAAGATCTCAGTAAAAATACATGGACAATTAGAAAAGCTAATAGTGTAACAATGGTTTGTAACTGCACTTTCTGGTTTGCTACATAATTTGAGAGACTAATACATTTGAAAGAATTATTAATCCATTTTTTGTGGAAGACCATGTATAAAAATGTAATTTTGTGACACCAACAGCCAAAAGGGACAGAGCTGTGCAAGACAGTTTTTGTGCATTACTGAAATTAAGCTGCTATAAATCCAAATCAAAGTGTTATAATTTTAGGATGTTAAATGTAGTCTCCATGGTAACCACCAAGAAAATAGCTACAGGATACGCATGAAAAGAAATGGGAAAGGAATTTAAACTTCTCATTATAAAAAAATCTTTTAACCTGAAAGACAAGAATGAAGGAAATGAGGGACAAAAGCTCTTATAAGGCATATAGAAAACAAATAGCACAATGAGAAAGTCCCTCCTAAGCAGTAATTACTTTAAATGTAAATGAATTAAGCTCTCTAATCAAAAGCTAGAGATTGGCAAGATGAATAAAAACACATGATCCAACTGTATGCTAGCTAGAAGAGACTCCCTTGAGATTCAAAACCACAAACAGATTGAAAGTGAAAGGATGGAAAAGATATTCCATGCAAATAATAACCAAAAGAAAGCTTAGGGAAACTATATTCATATCAGGCAAAATAGATTTTAAGTTAAAAAAAAAAGGTTACAAGAGACAAATTAAGGACACAATGTTAATAAAAGGTTCAATGTAGTAAGAAGATAGAACAATTATTAACATTTATGCACCTAATGACAGACCATCGAAATATATAAAGCAAAAACTATCAGAAATGAAAGAGAAATAGGCAATTCTACAATAATAGAGACCTCAGTACCCTTCTCACAATAATGGATAAGAACAACAAGGCAGAGGTTAAGGAAATAGAGGACTTGGACAGTATGATGAACCAGCTAGATCTGAGAGACCCAGAACACTCCCTGCAACAACAATACATTTCTCCAGGGTACGTGAGATGTTTTTAAGGATATACCATATGTTATAGTTTAAGTCTTAATAGATTTTAAAGGATACTTATACAGAGTATCTTCCCTGGCCATGATGGGACAAAATTAGAAAACAATAACAAAAGGAAAACTAAAGAATTCACAAAACTGTGGAAATTAACACACTTTTTAAAAATCAGTGGTTCAAAAAGGAAACCATCAGAGAGATTAGAAAATACTTAGAAATGAATGAAAGTGAAAACACAATGTACCAAAACTATGGGACACAGTGGAAGTAGTGCTAAGGTGAAATTTGTTACTGTAAACTCTTAACATTAAAAACAAGAAATTTCAGTGATTAGTTGGACAGTAAATGTTCTGATTTTTAAAAAGAAAGGAAGGAGTGAATGAATGAACCAACAATGAAACTTTACAAATTAAGGAACTAGAAAAAGAAGAACAAACTAAACACAAAGTTAACAGAAGGAAGGAAATAATAAAGATTAAACCAGAGAAAAACAAAGAGAAACAATGGAGAAAATCAATGAAACTAAAAATATCAACATAATTAACCAACCTTTTGGCTAGATAGACTAAGAAAAAAGACTCAAATTACTAAAATCAGAAATGAAGGGGGAAACATTACTGCTGATTCTATAGAAATAAAAAGAGTTATGAGTATCATGAACAATTACCATCAAATTGGATAACCTTCGTAAGATGGACAAATTCTTAGAAATGCTGGACCTAGCAAGAGAAAATCTGACTAAACCAATAGCTAGTAAGGATATTGTTGTTTTCTTTTAAAGATTTTATTTATTTATTCATGAGAGACAGAGAAGCAGAGAGAGAGGTAGAGACACAGGCAGAGGGAAAAGCAGGATCCATGCTAGGAGGTCAACAGTGGGACTCGATCCCAGGACTCCAGGGCCACGCCCTGAGCCAAAGGCAGACGCTCAACCACTGAGCCACCTAGGCATCCCAGTAGTAGGGATATTGAATTAGTATGCCCAAACTCTCTCTACAAAGAAAAGGCCTGACTCTGATGCCTTACTGGTAAATTCTTCCAAACATTTAAAACAACTACCAATCCTTCTCAGACATTTCCAAAAAATTGAAGAGGAGAGAATACTTTCTAACCTGTTTTATGAGACCAGCAATGTCCTGACACAAAAGCCAAACAAAGACACTACTAGGACAGAAAACTACAAACCAATACCCTTTACAAATACTGATCTTTTATTTTTTTAATTATTTTTTTATATTTATTTATTTATTCATGAGAGACAGAGAGAGAGGGAGTCAGAGACACAGGCAGAGGAGAAGCAGGCTCCATGCAGGGAGCCCGACGTGGGACTCAATCCCAGGACTCCAGGATCAGGCCCTGGGCTGAAGGCGGCGCTAAACCACTGAGCCACCGGGCTGCCCCAAATACTGATTTTTTAAAAGATCTTTAACAAAATACTAGCAATCAGAATGCAGCAGTATATTAAAAGGATTGTATATCCTGACCAAGTGGGATTTTTTTCCTGACTTCAAGGATGGTTCAACATATAAAAATTGATTAGTATAATTTGCCACATAAATGGGGTAAAGAAAAACAACCCCAGGATTATTTCAATTGATGCTAAATTAGCATTTAACACAAAATTGAACACCTTTCATGATAAAAACTTCACAAACTAGGAATAGAAGGAAACTACCTCAACATAATAAAAGCCATATTGAAAAACCCACCTCAAACATCATACTCCATGGTGAGTAAACACTGAAAGGATTTCCTCTAAGAAACAAGAACAAGGCAAGGATGCCTGCTTTCCTCACGTCTCTTCAATATAGTACTGCTAATGCTAGTAAGAGCAATTTGGCAAGAAAAATAAGTAAGGGGCAGCCAGACTGGAAAAAAAAAAAGAAGAGAGAAAATCATCTCTGATGATAGGATCTTATGTGTAAAGAAACCCTGAAATATTCCACACACACACACACACACACACACACACAAACCTCTTAGAATAAATTAATTCAGTAAAGTAGCAAAATATAAAACCACAAAAAAATCAGTTGCATTTCTATACACAATCAGAAAAGAAAATTACAAAAGCAATTCCATTTATAATAGTATCAAAAAGAATAAAATACTTAGGAATTAACCAAGGAAGTGAAAGTCTTGCTCACTAAAAACCACAAAACATTGCTGAAAGAAATTAAGACATAAATAAAGGGAAATATATCCTGTATTCATGGATTGGAAGACTTAATATTGTTAAAATGTTTACACTGCCCAAAGTGACCTACAGATTCAGTGTAATCCCTGTCAAAATAACAATGACATTTTTGCAGAAATAGAGCTCAGAATAAACCTTACATATATGGTCAAAAGATTTTTGACAAGTGTGCCAAGACCATTCAATGGGCAAATAGTCTTTAAACAAATGATGCTGGGAAAACTGGATATCCACATGCAAAATAATGAAGTTAAGGGCACTTGGGTGGCTCAGTCAGTTAAGCATCTATCTGCATTCGGCTTGGGTCAGGATCTCAGGGTCCTGGGATGGAACCCTGAGTCAACCCTCTGCTCAGCAGGGAATCACTTCTCCCTCTGCCCATCCCCACTGCTCGTGCTTGCTCTCTCTTCCTCAAATAAGCAAAAATCTTTAAAGGAATTTTTTTTTAATTTTAAGAATTAAGAACGAAGTTAGACTCCTAACACCATATACAAAAAGTAACTCAAAATGGATTAAAGACCTAAATGTAAGACCTAAAATAATAAAATTCTTAAAACACAGGACAAAAGTTTCATGACATTAGATTTGGGAAAGACTTCTTGGATATGACACCAAAGGCACTGATTTTTAAAAGTGAACAAATTGGAGTTTATGAATATAATAACTTGTGTTCATTGAAAGATATTATCAAGAGAATGAAAAGGCAACCTACAGAAGAGGAGAAAATATTTGCAAATTACATATATAATAAAGGATTAATATCAGAATATGTAGAGAAAATCCTGAAACTCAACAACAGAAAAGACGACCTAATTAAAAGATGAGCAAAGGACTCAAATGGTCATTTCTCCAAGGAAGATATACCAATGACCAACAAGCACATGGAAAGGTTCTCTGCATCATTAATCATTAGGGAAATGCAAATCAAAATAACAGTGAGCTACCACCTCCCACACCTTAAAGTGGCTACAATCAAAACAAAAACTAGAAGACAAAAAATATTGGCAAGAACGTGGAGAAATTGGAACCCTGTGCACTTTTTGGAATGTAAAATGATACAGGTTGCTGTGGAAAACAGTATGGTGTAACTCCTCAGAAATTTAAAAATAAAATTACATGTGATCCAGCAATTTTAATTCTGATTATATAAGGAAAAGAATTGAAAGCAGAAAAAAAAAGAATTGAAATCAGAGTTTCAAAGAGCTACACATTCATAGCAGCAGTATTCATAATAGCTAAAATGTAGAAGCAACCCCAAGTGTCCATCAATGGATGAATGACTAAGCAAAATATAAAATATCCATACAGTGGAATATTACTTAGCCTTAAAAACGGGGAAATATTGCAATAGGCTACAACACTGACGAACCTTTAGGACATTTTGCTAAGGGAAAACAACAGTTACACATAAAAGGCAAAAACTTAAGAAAAAAAAACTATGACTCTATTTACTTGGGATTCTTAGAGTAGTCAAAGTCATAGAGACGGAAAGTAGAATGGTAGTTACTAGGGGCTATAGGTAGGGGAGAATGGGAAATTACTGTAATGGTTACAGAGTTTCAGTTTTACAAGATATGAAGAGTTATGGAATGGAAGATGGTAATGGTTGTACAACAATATAAATATCTAATACCACCAAACTGTACAGTTAAAAATAAAGACACTAGGGGCATCTACACATGGCTCAGTAGTTTTAAGTTATGGGGTTGAGCCCTGTGTTAGACTCTGTGCTCAGTGGGGAGTCTGCTTGAAGATTCTCTCCCTTTGCCCCTCCCCTCGCTTGTGTGCACTTTCTTGCTCTACAATAAATAAATCTTTAAAAAAAATAAAGACATTAAATATATTTTATGTATGTTTTACTACAATGGGAAAAAACTTTCTATGAGAAAAATACTTACATATTAAGATATTAATAGAACATTGACTTGATTTCTTATACACACAGAATTTGTAGTGATTAAAGTTCTTTAACTAGTGTTTTGATTTACTTAATCAGATTATATCAAGAATATTAGGAGCTGACCTTGGGTTACTATCTATAATTGGTGTTTGGCCAGGCCCATTAAATATAATAGAGATCCAATTAAATCACATAATGGATTTCTGTATCTTTCTTGGTTGTGGAAATTGTATTATTTTTATTCTCACTAGATTTCTCTTGGTGAGACAGTCCAAATAGATCACTTTTAACTTTGTATTGACTTTCACTTTCTTCATCCACAACATTGCAGCAGGCTTACTTTGCAGAGAGAGTAGGAAGAAGTACCAAAAAAAACTTGGTGAGCAACAATTTATTTCTAATGTTCTCCTTATGTTTTCACAGTGTAAATCCAGAACCATTCAAACCCTAAAACATTCTCCTTTTAAACACTATCCCAAAATATTACTAGGCAGAAGAGAGCAGTGGTACAATATTAACATCAAAACTGGAATTTATTTTTCAAAATTTAAATAGAGCTTGATTTAAACCTAAGGAATAATGTTTTGATAAACATCAGGAAGGAAAAAATTTTATATTTCATCTTTAAAAGGGAGAACTAAAAGGACTGTACACTTGAGAATTTTGGTATGACATGGGAGTCTTTTTGGACATGCGGAATACATATTTTCACACATATTTTACATTCCTGAGACTGTAATTGCCAAATTCTGTGGAATATAACATGAGGGTGTGTATATATACAAAGCTGAGATGATAGTTGTGTTTTTATGTATGACTTTGAATGAATATTATGAAATATTCTTTCTTTTTTCCTCTCCATTTCTGTAGGAAAGTTTATCTTGCAAAGATTTTTCTGTAACAATCCTCATGGTATCCCCATAAGGACCGCCAATATTAAGCCTCTAATGAAATAAACATTTCATCTTTGAATGCTGTGTTTGTCACAAATGACAAAGGGTTTTCTGTTAGAAATTGAAAAATCTAAGATTTTTATTTTGTAAGAAAGTTCATTCCAGTTTGGTTAATTTCATTTCTGTAGAGCCTCCAAAATTCTTGCCCATATCATCAACACCCCAGCCAGAGAGACGACAGCCACCCCAGAGACGACATTCCATTGAAAAGGAAACACCCACTAATGTAAGACAGTTTCTGCCACCGTCCAAGCAGAGCTCCCGATCTCTTGTAAGTAGCTGGAAGCCTTGATAGTGACTTGAGGATCAGTTAGAGACATGTTATCATTAGCTTTCTTGAGACGATGATTAGGAAGAAAAAAAAACTTCCAAACTTTAAATAGCTTTATTTTGTTTTTACTATCTAAAGAAAACCAGCTGTCACAGTAACTTAAAATGACATTTGACCATTCTTTATTCATTTTAAAGTACTTTTTTTTCCAGAAGATTTATCAGTGGTTGAAAATATGTGTTATTATTAAAGGAATGCTTTCTTTTTTTCAAAGGGAATTAGTCCACTTAGAAATCATTAAAACTTATCAAAAAGTTAGAGTCTGACTACTGCACACTATTTTATCAAGGCAGAAGTGTGAGGGGAGAATTTTGATCCGTTACAAACCATTGTCCATTGTTTTCAAGTGTGTTTCATGATCTTGGAGCCAAAGCTGCTGTTTGCACTAGATGACGGTTTTGCTGCTTTCTCAAGATTTCCAGGTTGGTGTAGTGGCTTTTGATTCCCAGGACAGTAAGACCCTGCCAGGAAGAAGTAACAGATCCTCTAACCAAAGGACATCTGCAAAGATTCTTTTGTAGTCCCACTTGACTTCACAGATATTTTACAGGGGAGATGAAGACTTCAGTCAGTAATTCTACCAGCAAACTAATATCTAATGTTTACTCAGGTATTCATGAACAAAAAGCCCTGGAATATGCTTACTCCATATTTTCGTTCATATTTTTAGGCTATCTTGAATCATCAACGGTTCAAATGAAGCAATTATAGATGTCCCCCCCTCAAAGTAGAGGAATTTAGTGTGGTTACTGTGAAGATACCAAGTTTGAACAGAGATATATGGTGTTGAAATTTAATCTCTGTTCCCAAACAGTTCGATTAAAGAACCAATGATTTTATGTCAGTTCCTGGTAGAATTTCTCTAACTGCTAAATAATCACTGAAACATTGAGTAAATATAGCTTTACCAGTGGTTTACCAGTAGAAAAACAATTCTAGACAGGTTCAAAGTTCAAAATCCAAAGACTTTTGTTAATGTGAAAAACTTACTGCTTTAGCAAAATAGAGTTATTGCCACAGCTTAAAAGTGTGTAAGAGACCACAGGTCCCCAGTAATTAGGAGATTCTTCTCTTCACCCAACTTTTCTCTTAGAAGCCAGCTTATCATCATTCAGCTCTGCACCTGGCCTTGTGATCATAGGACACCATTGTTAATGTTAAATTTAAAAACTGTCAATGTGGAGGAACTGTCAGATCATTTAAAAGGAATTTCAGCTACTAAGAAAAGTTCCGGCTAGAACAGAAATACCATAGAAGTAATAGAAGAAAGACTATCAGCCCACATCGTGGGCCCAGAGGTATATTTCCTGACAACGGGGAACTCTTAGTATGTGCTGGGTCAGGCTGTGAGTTATTTTTTGTGGAGAAAAGCAAGATAAAACCAATCTGCAACCTCTGTGAGAAGAAGAGAAGAGTCTCTGTGAAAGGCAGTGGGAAAGCACTGCTTGGTGTTCAGGTTCCATGTGGAACCACGTTCCCTGGGAGCACCCAGGGCACCAGCTGATACAAGGTAACATCTAGGTTACAGTAGTGACCATTCTTGCTAGTAGCTTATCTTGGAAAATTCATAAAGCCACACTCATCTTGGGGTAGTACCCTCTAGACTGTTAAGTATTGTTTTTAAAGGTATGACAATTAATTTGAAACTTTAGCTATCTTTAAGAAAACAAGGAATCCTTTTGTATTTACAATCCCTCCACTGAAAATGGCAGAAATGTCTTCATTGGTATTCATTTTTTTTATTTTTATTGTATCTCCCTCTCTTTCCTTAGAATGTTGAAATGTAATTTTTTTTCATCATTTGTTCCAATGATTAAGGATGATTGCCCATCTAAATGAAAGGCAACTTGTCTTTCAGTACCTTCCCCAGGGGCTGGGGGACAAGCACTGCTTGGTGGCATGTGCCACCCCCTCACCCCTGCCTTCACAGGCACAAGGGCATTTGCTCACAGGACAGCCAAGTTAGCAACATCTTAAGTCTCTGCTGTGTGAACTCCAAGATCCTCTAGGTATGGTTTCATGATGTTTACGGATTTATATGTACGGGAACAGACAGTGGTGTGGGCACACACATGTGGGATCAACCATTAATGTCCTCAGTGGTAGTTTGGTTTCATTTTGTTTTTCTTTCATGCTGTGTAACCACTATTTGTAGGTCACTCGTGTTCAGCATTATTTTCTCCTTTTCTTTTCCCCCTGCCATTTTCTTTTTCCCTTATCTATTGTTCAGGTTCCTAGGATAACCAGTGTTTGGCCAAGGACGCCTTTCCGACCACTTTTTTCTACCATACAAACAGCTTCTCTGCTCAGCTCTCATCCTTTTGAAGCAGCCATGTTTGGGGTAGCAGGGGCTATGTATTATCTATGTGAGAGAGCTTTTACCAGCAGGTGGAAATCCTCAAAGGTTGGCCTCTTTCTGCTGGTTCTGGGAATTATTTTACTCTCTATCTCTTTGACAGTGATACTGCAACTCCTGTGCTCTGAACAATTAACAGCTTAGATGGGCACTTTGCTTCTGATCGTTGATTCCAGTCTTTTGTAGGATGCATAGATTACACCATGATCTCAGTTGAAAGGAAAATGACCTTGAAAGGACAACAAACTCAAAATGCAGCATCAGATTAGAGGGACCTGTGAGTGACCCAGTTGTATACCAGGAGGAATGCCATCTCCTCTCCATGTACAAGGCACTCCCTGAGAGCCATGGGGTGCTGTCCTCCCAGGGTCTTCCCGCTATCAGGACAGCGCTTACTCCCTCCCTTGGCTGTCAGAGCAGCCTCCTGCCAGCCCACATAACCATGGGAACTCTGCCATCCATAGAACCATAGCCTTCCCCGTTTCTCACACACCCCACCATGAGCTCCAGGGGGCTGTGCCCTCACAGCAGGTGCCCACCCTGTGCTCAGAATGTCTCTGTTCCCCAGCACCTTTCATAAAGCTGTGTTGTGTTGGTCAGGGTATTATGTGGTTTTTAATGACAACTCACTTCTCTGTAGAAATTTTAAGCTTTTCTTTTATTGATGTGGTTATTTTAAATAATTACACATTTCATTATTTTGTTAGATTCTCATACAGAATATAGTTTTTAAAGAAAATACAATACTTGCCAAACCCCAGTGGAATAAAGAAGTTCTTGAACTATGCCCTATTTGTTGAAAGCTTCCCCTGCCCCCAGAGTAGCATGCCTTGCAGACTAGCGTTTGCAGCTGCTCTGTTCCACCTCCTATAGCATTCTGTCTTTCCTAGGTCCTTTATTTACAAAACATATCCTTGACAAATGAACCAGCAGCTGGTTTCTTTATTATTCTTTATTATGCATCTTGGTTTGGAAAAGAGAGTCTGAATGTGATGAAGTATATCAAATTCCTTTCTCTTCTTTACTTGTCATGAAATAGAGGATAGATCTCTATTCTTTCTCCCATTTTAGATCTGGCCCTTTGGCCAGTATGTGGTCAGGTGCAGGGATGGCATTTTAAGTCTTGTCACTGTTACTGCGGTTACTGAAGATCTGTGGGCATTTCATTTCATTTTCAAACCTCCCCAGAGATCTCTGTATACGAAGGCTAAACTTGATGTAGGCAGAGTTCACTTTGAGTTTAAAAGTTAAACTTGAAAAAAAGAGAAGAGTAATTAAACTTAAAAGGTGCTGTTTTAATTTAAATCTACTTTGGGTTTATTAAAAACTCAAGGAAATAATGCTGGTTTTGGATAATTTTCAAATACCTGCTACTTATATAAAGTCTTTGCTCCTTGAGAATACTATATAAAATATGCACATTCCCATTCTATCTGTGGCTCAGTAACCAGAGTATACATTATGCTCTGAAATTTCTCTCCTCCCTAACTCTGACCACTCTGAGGGTAAATGTAACCAGAATATTTTGAACAAAAACTCACTGATGCCAGGTGACATACATAAAAAATAAGTTCTAAAGGCTCATCTGTTCTATAGCATATTGTAATCTTTATTAAAAACTCTTTCAGGGATCCCTGGGTGGCGCAGCGGTTTGGCGCCTGCCTTTGGCCCAGGGCGCGATCCTGGAGACCCGGGATCGAATCCCACGTCGGGCTCCCGGTGCATGGAGCCTGCTTCTCCCTCTGCCTGTGTCTCTGCCTCTCTCTCTCTCTCTCTGTGTGACTATCATAAATAAATAAAAAAAATTTTAAAAAAATAAAATAAAAATAAAAAAAAATAAAAACTCTTTCAGATTTAGCTTCCCTTTTCTAAATTTAGGAGTCCGATTAAAGCACAGGGAAGCCAAGGGATTTTAGAGTCCATGTGTGGCTTTGACAGAGTTCAGGCAATGGGAGGAGTGACCAACCCCAGTATAAAGCTCTCACTCACTGTTAAAAGCCCTGAGTGCTCCTCACATTTTGGAGCATTAGTATCTCAGCAATATCTGTTGAAGTTAAGGCTTAATTTGGCTTTGGGGATGTTGAATCAGTACTTTTGTCAATTGAAAAAATAATGAAAACTATCCTAGTAACTATTTATTATTTTCTTTCATGTTGCATTGAAGTTTTGTTGTCCTTGGGAAAGCACTAGAATTAAAACATTAGCATTTGACCCGATGGAAATTATTTTACTCAACAGTAATTTGCTTGAAAGTTAAAAAAAGAACAAGAATACACACATACACCAATAAAATTTCTTATTATGTCCTATGAAGTCCTGGATTTGCATATGGTTCAAAGCAGCAAGTTGAAAGTATGCTTGACTAAGTCCATTTGTGACTTAAGACTGAGAAGAGGGAAGTAGAACCTGTCAGGTCTATTGTGTGTGCTAGGATATCCCTGCAAATAAAAAGGATTCCCATCTACCGGAAACAAACGTTTACCAGCCCAGGCATCTTAGTTGTAAAGTTAATTATTAAACTGGCACTATTTTGACATCTTTCCACCTTCACAGCAACAAATCTCAGGTAGTCAGTGTCTGGTTAGTTGCTAGATTCATACATTAGATTGTTCCAACTCAGCAGTTTTGTCACATAGTTAGCTGTCAGAAAATGCACCATAGTCACACTCATCACTAATGAATAAAAAAGACCGTAGGAAAGCTGCTTATGAAATATGTTAAAAACTGAGAAAAGCTATCATTCAGATGTGTGCAGCCAACAATGCTTATCTCATGCACAATCTTAGTGGTCTAACCTTCACACAGGCAGTGCATTGTTCCCACTTGACACTAGGCTATTTTCTCAGGGTGGAGCAAACCAGAGTAGATACTGGACAAGCCAATATAATCCAGTTATCTTTGAAAGCTTTTCCCATTGAAAGACAAAATTATGTGATGGTGATTTTTTTAAAAAATATTTTAGACATCTTAGAGCAAATGATATAATCTTCCTGAACAGAATACCTTCCCACCCTCCAAGATACTATGCTCTTCCTCTTAAAAATTCAGTTGCAGGATTTTTCTGCAAAACTTTTTAAAGCAAATTTAACCTTCTTTAAGTCAGCCTGGACAGAGATAATTTTGTATTGATTGTTAGTAAGAAGCAGTTCTTCAAACTATTTTTTTTGAAATGCTAATGTTTATCAAGTTTGCAACCTAGATTTGTTTTTGTTTTTCTGATTGAAAGACAGAACTGAATGTTAAAAACTCCATAAACTGACTGCATTCATAGTCATGTGCTTTCTCATTTGGCTTGTTTGATTCCAGAATGCCTGTTAGCAATGCTATTGTGTGTGTGTGGGAGTGAATTATAATGTGTTTGTACTGAGAACATTAAGTTTCAGTGTCCCTACACCACAATGGCCCCTGTGAAGCCTGGCAGGGTGAGAATGCACAAGACCATTCTGTCTTTCTATTAGATCCACCAATCAAACGCAGAGCCGAATGGGAAGCAAATGGGGGTGAGGCTCTTTATTCAGTGGGATCAGTTACATCAACATCTTCCTTGGCTGTTTTTAGGGAAAACATTAACATAAGACAGCCAGCATAAATATTTATTGTGAAATTCTTAAGATTTTCTCCACGTCTTTGCAGTGCTGACTGTGCATTCAACAGTCATTTAAAAGTAATAACAGAAATCTTAGAGAACTGTGGGGTAGTCTGTAGAGGTTGCCTTTTGGCTGTAAACTGCACCAGTAGTTACATAGTCCAGTTCCACTCGTACCATTAGGATTTTTTAATGATATGCTGATGTAACTTACCACTAAATAATGCTTCTCAGTATAAATTACTAACCACCTTCTTTTGGCTATTCTGGGTACCACAAACCAGTTTTCTAAATAGTACCAGTGTCGCAGATTTGCTATTTATTAGCATATACTATACAATACAATATGAAGTAATAATGTCTTTGTAAAATCATAAGGAGAAAACAGACTTCAATTTGGTTTAGAACAAGAAAATTTTCTTCAAGATTTCAGTGCATAGATACATGGCTCTGCTTAACGGAATAGAAACTTGAGGCTAAATATGTACCCAAATGTGAGGAACTTTTCCTTTCCTGGAAATTTCAGTAAACCATAATGTTTGACATTATAGATCCCCAGAAGTTTTCTGCCATCTGTTGTCTTAGTGTAATTAGAAATTATGTGGTCCCCAGAGTGAGCCAGCTCTGTTCCACAGTTCATTGGGAAACCTCCTTTCTTCTCTGAAGCTACTAACCAGGTGTCTGATCTGAAGGGAAACTGCACAGTGCCAGAAAAGGGGGGGTGGGAGTTTCTTATTCATGTGGAATTTTGAATTTCAGGAGGAATTTTGCTATCCAGTGGAATGCCTAGCTCTTACTGTGGAGGAAGTGATGCATATTCGTCAGGTCCTGGTGAAGGCAGAACTGGAAAAGTACCAACAGTATAAAGATGTCTACACCGCCTTGAAAAAAGGAAAGGTAGAGCTATTTCAAGTTGATTGATAAGTAGGGTTAGAAGAATGGTCAGTGCCAGGCTTGGTCTCCTGAGGGAGTGGTCTCCTGGCAGCCAGATGGTAGAGGGGATTTTAGGAGATAAGAAGCTTATTCTCTAATACACAGTTCCTGTTCTGCCTTGCTTACAAAAAAAAAAGGTATTTTTGTTTCTCCCTGAGAAATCAAAAACTGTGGAAGATTTAAAACAACCATAATAAATAACGGCATGCCTGCATAAAACCATGTGTGCATTTTAAAGGCTTGTAAAGAATATGTGTCTGAGAAAGAGACTGTCTCAGAATTTCTTCAGATTGATTCCATGATGCTAAGCCTCTGAGAGCTATGACCTATTGCTAGCTTTTAAAAGTTTAATTATAAGTAAATAAAGAGCCCAATTCTAATTATCACGAGCCAAACTTGAAAACAGAGTTTCTGAATTCTCTTTTTCCTTTTGTCTGCTAAACTTCCCCAATCTATAAATGTAAAGCATATTTAGACACATAAATTATGAATTAACTGCTGGCATTGCTTTTTTCTCTCTTTCAATTTGTCTTTCTAGCTCTGCTTTTGTTGCCGAACCAGAAGATTTTCCTTCTTCACCTGGTCTTATACCTGTCAATTCTGTAAGAGGTAAGGTTGTTTTTGTTTTTTTGTTTTGTTTTTGTAATTGATGACAGTAGTCAAATACCAATTACATTTATACTTTAATAATTTTTCTACACAAGGAACAGCATTAAAGATTACCTAGCCCACTGTCACATTGTGCCATGCTCGTGGGTTAAATAATACTGATTTCTTCAAAAGAGCAGAGCAGTTACTTGGTATTAAACCTGGAAAATGTTTCTCTGCATGTATTTCCTTTATATGACTAAAATCATTCTAATAACCATATTTTCTGTTTAAACAGAAAAAAATTAGATGTGATTGTCTTAGTCTTATGATTCCCTCGATAGACAGATAAGAAAATCCCAGACAGATAGATGTAAGTTGATCCTTTTACAGGAAATACTGTAAGAGTTAAGTTTTACAGGTTGTCTTCTTGGTGATCCACAGTTGTATCAATTTGGTGGAAAAACCAGAGTTTTTGCAGTTTATTATAGAAATTCACAACCACTCAGTCATTGGCTTCTCTGACTTTCCAGTCACATCTATGGTATCATGCTGAGTAACACTTCTGATTTTGTATACAGGCCGGTGTGTTCACAGTGTTGCAAAAAGGTAAGCTAAGCTTGGTAAAATTATAACTGATGTTCATTTTAAGGAGTCTACCTCTTTAACAGTACTGCTCATTCTTGGTTTTATTTGGGATAATAGATGCGGCTGCCCTCCAAACCATACTCCACTCTTCCCATCTTTTCATTGGGACCTTCTGCCTTGCAAAGAGGGGAAAGTTGTATGAGGCCAGAAAAGCCCACCACTGGCCACCATCGGCCACTCCGGAGCATTGCCAGGTGAGCAAGGGGCCTGGGACCTCAGAGCATCCTCTGTAAAAGAAGATTTCTCCTTTTGAGGACTGCTGACGAGGTGGGGTTTTGACTCCAGGTGGTTTGGGTTGGCCCGGTGGCTGTGTGTGGCTGGGTGCTTGGTTTTAATGTAGTTTTGATTTGCATGCAAGTCTCCAAAACTTCCCAGAGGTAACTTGTCAAGGGGTAATGGCTGGTTACTTGAAGCATACTTGAATGTCATCATTTCTTTTCTACTTTAGAAATAATTACTTTTATGGGTCCTTTATTTATTTTTATTTTTTTTTATTTTTATGTATTTATGATAGTCACAGAGAGAGAGAGAAAGGCAGAGACACAGGCAGAGGGAGAAGCAGGCTCCATGCACCAGGAGCCCGATGTGGGATTCGATCCCGGGTCTCCAGGATCGCGCCCTGGGCCAAAGGCAGGCGCCAAACCGCTGCGCCACCCAGGGATCCCTTTATGGGTCCTTTAAAAGTCATCTTTAAAATTGACCTTGTTTTCAGTGGAGTTGAAAACTTGCATGTAACAGTCTAATCTTTCTTTCCTTCTTTAATTTTAGAAAGCAAATTGTGTAGTTCCGGGTTTCCAATGGTCTGCAATAACTTTGGCTTGTCTTCCTCTTGGAAATAGGACAGAAATAAAGCTTTATGCCAAAAGCTTTATGGCAATTTAAAAAAAAATGCCTGAATATCAGTCCCTTTGCATTTAATGCAGAGTAAAGTTAGTATTGATCTTCAAGAAAGGACAGAAGGGATTCAGGCCAGCTTGCCACACACACACACACACACACACACACACACACACACACACGGCCAAAAAATGGAGTTTTATACACCAGCTGCCCCCTGTCGAGGAGGGACACTGTACTGCTGCTTGAGTGTTGGGTGGTGGGATTCCTGCACACCACAGCTGTGGGCAGTGAGGCAGGGAAGCCAGGACCCCAGCAGGTGACTGCTGCCGCCCGCCCCCACTACCACCACCACCACCCGGGCTGTCCACTCTGCCCAGAGACCCTGCTGGCTCCTCCATGATGGCCTCCAACTTGGGATTGTCACCTGTGAGCTAAGGCGTGGTGGTGTTCCTTTCTGTACTTACTCTAAACTTAGGTTCTTGTTTGGTTTAATTGAAGGAGTACATGAATAGATGATTCCTAGTTATTTCGAAAAATTACCCAAAACATTTATTTTTATGTTGATCTATTTAACTCTAGCTCTCTGAATCCAAAGAATTAGTCACCCAAGTAGAAGTGTTGGAGAGGGGAAGGTATATTTGATAAATGCAAAAATGCTAAGGAAGCTGGTCTGAAGATAACTTTTCAGGATTAAGACCAATTGACTTCAGCTTACTATAGTCTGCCTACAGTTGACTCACGTTCACCAACCCTGACCCAGGGTCACTGGAAAAAAGGACTTGAAGTCCCTTCTGAATTACTGATAAGACGTTAGCAACATTTTGATTGCTTTTAGTTGTTGAAGTCCACTGTATATCATGTATGGTATTCAGATGAATACTCTATCCCTTTTTCCAAAAGTGATACCAAGAGTTTTCAGTATTATTCTTTCTTAATAAAATACGTTCCCTGGTTTCTTTTTTTAAAAACATTTTGAGCTTTATTTCCAATTAGAAATTCTTCCCTTGAAAGAACATGAGGTGACTCGCTCATTCCATAATGTCTTGGCAACAAATTTACTTTTTGCACATATTTTCTTAGTATTGCAGTAGAACTGTAAGTAACACTACTGGATATTCTAAACATCTTGTTTTGTTCCAGGTTCTCCTCAAAATCTAAATCTGTAGACAAATCAGATGAAGAACTACAGTTTCCCAAAGAGCTGATGGAGGACTGGAGTACTATGGAGGTGTGTGTAGACTGCAAAAAGTTTATTTCGGAAATCATCAGTTCAAGCCGGCGCAGCCTGGTGTTGGCCAACAAAAGAGCCCGATTAAAAAGGAAAACACAGTCTTTCTATATGTCCTCACCAGGCCCCTCGGAATACTGCCCTTCAGAGAGGACTATCAATGAAATCTGAGCCTGTGCCTTTCAGTTGCTTTGTGTTCAGAGTCGGCACTAGTATAGGAGAACACTGAGCTGGGCTGGCTCTCCTTGCCGTGGTCTTAGTTACTAGGCTTGAATTCGCATTAGATCAGGTTTTTGCTGCATCACGTTGTTCCACAGACTGAAAGCTGTGTTCATATCGATTGATGATACGTGACAGGTCAGCCAATTGCTCATTTGCACCAAGCGAGAACAATAGTTTGAAACTTGCTTTTGTGTGTGTGTGGATTTGGAAGCCAGAGACTTTTTCCTTAGTTCAGTTCCCTACTGTTCCTCAGAGAATTTCCTGACTAAGGCAAAAAGCTTCTCATGTGAGAAATCAGCCTCACAAAGCTGTCGATGTTAGCACAGTTCTAAGCAGTAAGTCATATTGGCACTTCCACCTGACAGTGTTCCTATCTAATGTACATAGTGACCGGGCCCTGCCACACACCAGACACCTGGAGTCGGGGACCGGCTGTGTATCATGTCACGATACAAAACCCAGAAGGATTTGCTTATACTATCAAACTGATTTTAAATTATTGTTGCTCGGAGACAAAAAGACTACAGGAGGGACTTCATTCCTGCGTTCTAGTGCAAAACATCTGGATAAGCTGTACACCCAAGTGGGTGACCATTTCCTCTGAGCTGCTGTGTTTGCCCTGGTGCAATGGATCAGTGTCTCCTGAGTGGGTGACAGGTCTTCATTCCCTATCTTGAATGTATTATGGTTACTTGTAGTTTTGTAAAAGAGGTCTCAGAATAAAGTTTTGTGGGAGTTTCAGGACAAAGGAAGGCTAAAAGTTTGTCAAGAAGTTGAGTGTATTTTGGTTAACTTTGAAAACGATTGTGACAGCATTGGGGTGCCAGCTGCCACACTACAGGGAATGAGCTGGAGCTCATCCATCTTCAGCTACATTTTTCATAACTTTATAGTCTTAGCCATCACAACTAAATTAAGCCACAATTTGGTACCTGAGGTCTCAAACTGAAATTTATTTATTTTTCTAAATGAATTTTAAGGGAAAAAACATTGTCTAGTTCTTTTAAAATTACAAGAAAATTAACCTAATAGACTTTTTGGACGCTTTTTGCACAAGTTTTCCTTGTAAATGACTGGAGTGTGTAAGGTGGGTTTTTGATGAAGGTAGGTTGGAAGGTAGCACTGTTTACCTGAAATTTCTCAGCCTGTCTGTCCCGTACTAGGAGCTGTACTTTATTTTTAGTATGCTTTGTTGGCAAATTGAATTTAAATAAAAAATAAATTAAAAATAAATACATAAATTTTTTAATTAAAAAAAATGACCAACCAATCAAATTGCCATGGCTGTTTAGAAAATCAGTTAATGCACATGCACAATAATTTCCTAAAAGCTATAGGACACATCTGTAGTCAGCACTGCGACAGCACCATTAAAGGCATGGCAGTCACATTTCATACCACATCAAAGTATAGTAGCATTTCTATGTTAGATTAACAGTAATACCTCAGAACTGCTCTGGTAGTAGTTTGTAATGGATTGAAATGTACACTTTAGTAAATGGCTTAAAATTACTTATGAAATAAACTTTACCAATTGACTAAAATAATGCATGTTAACAGTTCCTCTGTATTTGCATGTAAAAAGTGGGCCACCAAAGAACCTTACTGATTTTGCACATGTTTAAATTACTGTAAAGACTCTTGTATTAGAGATTTAAACATTTTATTGGGTGAATCTCATTTATAAAATTTTCCAAGGGATTATTTGGATTCTATACCCTTGATGGTTCGGTGGAAGCCACACCCTCTGAGAGCCCCAGGTTTGGGCCTCTGTATGACTACTGGGAAACAATGGTATTTGTGTATGTATATAGACATGACACACAGTAATGTGCTTTTTAAAATAATGATGAGTTTACTGCTGTTACTAAGACACAGGAAACTAAGCCCCTGAAATGAGAATTTCATTCACATTTACAAGGCAGATACCTAGCCCATCTCAGTTTTTGCTTCACTCCTTCAGGTTTATGATGCTCTTGGCTGATTTGGGCATTATGATCACTCTTCCCAGAGTGTTAGAATGTGAATCCTTCAGTGGCATTAATGAGGTTTGTCAAGTGGTTGTGGATCTACATGAGACAGTTCGCAGTATGAGAAGACGACACATAACACAGTTAAAAGTGTAGAAATTGAATTAGCATCACTTTTTATTGCCAAAACAATTCCTTGACAGTTTCTCCCATATCCATGACATGAACCCAGTACCTCAATTAAATTAAGTAATTCCCAGAGAGAAATTCACTAACAGCTAATGCAGAGTGGTTTGACCCCTGTTAACCTAGTGTACCTTAGTCCTCTTTCTCGTCTTAACTACTAAAAGAACATACCTTCACAGTATTCCTTTTTTCTTGGTTTCTGGCATTTGCACCTGATCCAACACTGCCAAATCGTTGGCTAGCTGGTCAGAAGATGTGTCTGAGAGCTCGTGTGTACACCCGAGCAGCCTTTGGCACATCCTCTAGCACCTGTTCCGTTTGTCCCAGACCTCACAAGCCCACTCTGCTGGGAGATCATTCCTTCCCCACGGCTCAACTTTCTACCAGTGTCAGAGTAGATAAGAATACTTGTAAATACTGTAATATGTTTATTAATATTTGAAAGGCATTCATTCAGCAGACAATGGGAATTAACTCTTCAGGGACAAGTGAAATGGAAATAATTGCTATGTACATTGACATAACAGTCTTACTAGATTTCAAGTCTTAAGCCTCTCAAAAACAGGAGTTTGTCATGTAGAAACTTTAAAAATGATCTTACATTTGAAGACATGATATGATTAGCACTGGACACTCATACCATGAATTTTTAAGGCTTTTATTTTTCTAATTGTATTAATAAATACAGGATTGGATTTTAGGAGTCAAATAGGAGACATGAAAGTTTTAAATTATGTTGCTATTTGCTAAAGCAAAATGACAGAAAATTTTGTTTATGCAAAACTGTTCGAAGGGCCATGGAGAAATATGTACACTGACTGACTGGACCTGGCTTCCTGTGTGTATGAAAGTCAGGGTATTGCTGGCATTCAGGGTGACATGACAGTACTAAACGTTTTCCATTCAAGTCTTTTAAAATTTAGGGAAAAATAAAATGACTTTCCATCGTAACTTCTGTGTTGAGTTCCTATTGTAAAATGGTGATGTCTTTTGGTAACTAGTTGTAAGAAACCACCTAGGTTAGGAAGGCAAGATGCTTGTGTCATCAGTAAGTTAAGATTGGGTTGAGATATACAGTCTGACAAGGACCACACTAGAAACATTTTGAAAAGGGGCAGCTAGGTGGCTCAGTGAGTTAAGTGTCCAACTCTTGGTTTGGGCTCAGGTCATGATCTCAGGGTCATAGGATCAAGCCCCTCATTGGGCTCTGTGCTCAGTGGGGAGTCTGCTTGAGATTCTCTTCCTCCTTCTCCTTTGTCCCTCCCCTCACTCCTGCGCACTCGTTAAAATAATTTTTTTTTTTTTTTAAGAAAAAGGCAAAGGGGCCCCTAGGTGGTTCAGTCTGTTACATGTCTGCCTTTGGCTCAGGTCATGATCCCAGGGTCCTGGGATCAAGCCCCTCATCGGGCTCCCTGCTTAGCGGAGAGCCTGCTTCTCCCTCTCCAATCTGCTTCTACCCCTGCTTGTGCGCTCATGCCTGCACTCTGTCAAATAAATAAAATCTTTTTAAGAAATAACTTTTTAAGGTAAAGGAAAACTTTCGTTTACAATAAAAAAAAAAAACACTTTGAAATGGAGCCACTGCCATAACTCTGTGTTACCCAGAAGCCGTGACTTCTTTTTTTATCCTCAGCAGTGTAGGAAATTAAAATTCTGTAAATAGTACATAATGTTTCATCATATAAGAAGGCACATGCATGGAGACAAGAGCTTTTATGTGTTTTTTCTAAATAGAATTCCTCATTCTACTCTATTCTTAAAATGCCCCATGCTTAGGAAATTTCCTATTGTAGCATGTAAATTGCTTGAGGAGAAAACTAGAAAGATTCAACCCAGAGTGAGCTTAGGGAAGCTCTTATGTTTCTGTTAACTAAAGAGCATCATTTAAGGTCTTTACATACCATAGATATTACCTGATACTGAATTTGAATCTTATTTCCACAAGCTGTGCCCTTATTTGTCAGGCATATTTGAGGATCTCCTTCCACCGAAGCTTCTCTGTGACATATATATAACCAGACGTGTGTCCAGCTCACACTCCAGTGTCCAGTGTGACTTGCTCAGTCCAAGTCAAGAGTCCTTGCCTTGTGTCTCCTGGACTCCAGAGACAGAAAATTTGGATACCACAAAGAGAAAAGCTTTGTGTAACCCTTCTAACTATATGTCTTTCTCCTTCCCAGGTTCAGTGAAGGAAAGTAGTAAATCATCATAGTCTAGCATTTCATAAAGAGATCTATTTTTAGAAAAGAGCTTGATTATACATATGATGTGTTTAAAGACTTCAGTTCTTGTCCCTTTGCAGAATGTGTAGGTACACACCAACTCATTCTAATGTTCATACAGGGTATGCTCCTTCTCCCATGTCAGCCAAAGGTCCATATCTGAAAACCTTACCCACCCAAAGAGTTGAGGAGCTAAGAACTTACATAATATAAAACTCTGCCCATGCTAATTAAATGTTCAGGTGCAATTACCTGACAGACTGAATTTGCACCATTATTCTGGTGCATTCCATTAAAATGTATGTGATGTGTCATTTGTGTATTTAGAATAGGTCTTACTATGCAAAGTCAGTTATGCTGGCAGCAAAACCCGAGCCATTTCAGAATCATTGAAGCAGTGGAAGGAAGAGAGCTTCAGAACTGGCAAGACATGGCTCTTAAAAAGTGGGGCATCAGAAGTTCCTTTCTGTCCTGCAGCTTTGGAAGTGAAGAATTGTCTGGATGTTTAAACATACAACTCAGTGCTCAGAGCTCTTCTGCTGCCCAGAGGGTCTGAGCCTTGGGTCCTGCACTGGGAATGCTCTCGCAAGCTACACTCATGAGTCTCATCATCTGTGGCTTGATAAAAGGAGGGACCTCCCTTGTCTTGGATGTGGCTGGCAAGGAGGGCCTGCATTTGGCAAGCTTGCTCACTTTTAAAGGGTTGCCCTTCTATACGTTCTTTGCTTTGGTGTTCCCTCGTGACTGAAGAATTGTCAGCCCCTTTTCCCTAGAGCAACACGGCAGGGGACATCACATCCCAACTCCTCGCAGGAGCAGCGGTGTTAAGGAGTGGAAATGCCAGAGATGAAAGGGTTTCTGCAGAGCTGCCCTGAATGTCCGGTTCCTAAGCAGTCATGATTTGAAAGCCGTAGGGAGGCACGTGGGGGGAGAAGGAACAGCAAGCCAGGCTCTGCACAGTCGTCTGCACGATGCAGCTACTGCTGTACGGAGCCCGAGGTGTGAACCAGAACCAGAATCCCTGCCACTTCTAAAGGGAAGAAATTTCGATCTCGGACATCCCAAAGTGAAAAGAAGCCTAAGAAGATTCCAGCTTGCCCACCAAGGAAGGGAACGTGACTTGAGGTAAAAAGCCAGGAGTCCTCCCAGCACACTCTCTCAAGGCCATTTCAGAAGTCGGATTCAGAGAATGTAGACTTGGACTGGCACCGTGAGTGTTAACTGGCTGGGCGCTCCCGCCCCCAAGCGACTCCTGTGACCGCCTGAAATCTTCCCCCGTGTAGCCCGTGGTAGACACAGCTGCACAACAAGAACTGGGCCTTCCTCCACTCCAGCCCTAGCGAGGAGGGTTTTCCAGGATGGGAGCTTTCATTCTGACGACTGCAATGAGTCTGTAATCAGGGAAGCTGACCTGGTTTCAGTATAGAAACCAGCACCTGGTTTCCAGTATAGGAAATGGCTCTAACTGACCTATGCTCCAGACAACAGAACAGCTGTTCGACATTGGGAAGGTCCCTTAACGTTTCTGGATTTCAGTTTCATCCATTTTAAAGCAACGGTGTTAGCAGATGAGGTGATCTCTAAGTCTGTTTTAATCAGGAAGAGGCATTCAACACACTGGAGCAAACAGCCAGTACTACACAGGTACCGACCAGTAAGAACCGGAGAGCCTGAGCCAGCCCTAACAAGAAATTGAGGAAAATCTTTGTGCATCCAAGCCAACCCTTTCATTAAAATGAAGTGTGAGGTGACTGGTACTTTCCAGGCAATATTTGTTTTTGTTTTTTTAAGATTTTATTTACTTATTCATGAGAGACACAGGCAGAGGGAGAAGCAGGCTCCATCCAGGGAGCCCGATGTGGGACTCGATCTCGGGACTCCAGGATCACGTCCTGAGCCGAAGGCAGGCGCTAAACTACTGAGCCACCCAGGGATCCCCGGCAATATTTCTTTTGGTGACAAGCCTGATTATGTGTACTACACAAACACAAGAAAAAGTGCAAAATAGGGCAGCCCCAGTGGCTCAGAGGTTTAGCGCCGCCTTTGGCCCAGGGTATGATCCTGGAGACCGGGATCGAGTCCCATGTCGGGCTCCGTGCATGGAGCCTGCGTCTCCCTCTGCCTGTGTCCCTGCCTCTCTCTCTGTGTGTCTGTCGTAAATAAAATCTTAAAAAAAAAAAAAAAAGGAAGAAAAAGTGCAAAATATGCTGCATTTATTTGAAACTTGGGAGCCAAAGACAAAACTTCAGCTTTACTAATTGTAAAGAATCCAAGTCCTTGTGTGTCAGCTATACCTCATTTAAAAACAAATGACACCTGAGTAGATCTCCCAAAATTAAAAATTTTCAGAAAGATGAGTTGATCTATATTAAAAACAGATACAAAACCCCCAGCGTTTTACATGAACATCTGGTTACTGATGGTTCATCTCCCAACCCTATGCAGTGGGAAGACCGTCTCAGACCTGGCAAGTCTGCTCCACCCTGTGATGTGTATTCCTGTCCGACATGTAAAGAGAAGCAGGTAGCCGTAGGGGCGACTACACGTGACAGACTATCTTCATTGCATTAAAAGGAAGCAAACAGGCAACTCTTGTCCAGTTTGGTCAAAGAACCAGTTAGCCGGCTACAGGGAGTCCCCAGTATATCCACCTCCCAGTGTAGTAATGGGATCCCACAGCCAAGAAGCTGGTCTCTTTGGCCCTCTCGGTGCTGAAAACCCCATCACTGCCGGGCTCTCTTCTCCACCAAATATCTCTGCTAGTGACTCTCAGAGCTCAAAGTGATCCGAGAAGGCATTCAGTCCTCACCCCAGCCGCTGGCAAGCTCTGGACTCTTTTGATATGTGTCCAAGGACCAGGGAGACACTTATTTCTGCAAAGTTCTATCTTTGAACAGTTCTGATGCTTGGGAAGTCCTGCCCTCATGTAATTTACTCCCATTGTTTGCCCCCTGGTTCTGTCTCCTGTGGCTCTGCAGAACGTGCCTGCTTTCCCAAGCGGCTGCCTTAAGTAGCCGCCTAATTCTGTCTCCTTCTCCTTCCTCCCTTCTCCCTCCTCCCTTCTCCATTTCTCATTCCATTGCACTCAGCAAGCACCTAACATGCTACTAAATTGTTCCAGGAAGACAAGATTTCCTCACTGCCATATCCCGTCTCTAGCATGTAACAGGTGCTCAATAAATGTCTGTGGAGTGAATTAATGATGGAATGAGCGGGTTCAATATGGAAATGAGAAGTGAGAAATACAAAGATGGAACCAGCAAGATGTCTCCAAAACATTTGTGATCTTCATCTGTGCTCTCTAACAGATAACAGCCACATGCAGCCCGTTCCTCGAGGTCAGTAAGCCACCGCAGTCCTAAGGTGCTAACTAGAATAGAGAAGCTTGAGTCGGTAGCTCACGCCGTTGACATGGTTGACTTGGAGCTGCAGAAACTCTGCGGGCCGCCTGGGCCTCCTCCCTGACCCTGATAAATGGCACGCACCGCACCGTTCTCTCTGGGTGCCCTGCTCCCAGAGCTCCTGGGCGGAGTTGCGGGCACAGGCCTGCCTCCCCTCCCCGACCAGCTTTTTCCCATTAACAAACTGATGTGCAGGGATCCCTGGGTGGCACAGCGGTTTAGCGCCTGCCTTTGGCCCAGGGCGCGATCCTGGAGACCCGGGATCGAATCCCACGTCGGGCTCCCGGTACATGGAGCCTGCTTCTCCCTCTGCCTGTGTCTCTGCCTC